CACACACACACACACACACACACACACACACACACACACACACACACTGTATTATGGAACATAAAACCCCAGGACAGGAACGTTATTTTCTACCCACAGGGACTATGCTGAAGCCCCATGCTCTCCTGGTTCAGTCAGTTTCAGCTCATGACCATGAATTCCATTTTTCTTCTAGTTCCTAGTTCATGTGCTGCACATGAAGCAGAGAGAGGGTCCTATAGACACAGGAAGGCATCCATTCATTGAACAAACGTGTGCAAGACCCACTGTACATCATGCAGTATTTTGGGATCTGAAGGCACATAAGTTAATAAGTCAGGCATGGCCCAACATTCATTATCTCAGTCCTGCAGTGAGGGGCATTTGTTCCTCACAGTCCACGGAATTGTACCTAGGAACGCTATGAGTGCAGTGTTCATCTGCCTGACCCCATCCTAAGCTGAGATGACCTCTCAAAGATGAGAAATGAGGGATGAGGAAAGAAGGAGAAAATTCCAGGCAGGCATAGACGTTCTAAGGAATCAGACAGAGCAGCTTCATTGAGGGCAAGGAAGCCATGTGTGAGACCATCTGCTCTGCCTCACCATCACCAGGGAGCTGTACAGAAATGTAGGTTCTCAGACCCACTCCATCTCTGTTGACTCAGAATCTCAGGAGGGGCAGCTTTCTTCATTGAGTTTTCTGATTTAGCAGCCTCTCCAGGTGACATTTTAACACAATGATTTAAGAGCCACTGGTCTAGATTTGAACAGGAAAGGGTGACATAGGAAGGGAGGGACAGGTGCCACTGCAAGAACTATGAACCATGCTAAGAATCTTCTGCTTCTCCCCAGAGGAAATGAGAGACATTTCAGCACCCCAATCGTGCAGGGGCATCTCCACTCAATTTTTATGATCAGTTACTATGTAGAAAATGAGCAAGAAAGGACCAGATCAGAAGCCTGCCAGAGGCTCAGGAAAATTCTCACTCCACCCTGGGACAAAGATGGAGTGTTGAGGGAGAGAGTAGAGAACACAAAGGAGAGAGATTTAGAAGGAACTGTGTAGGTGCTTAGCATTCAGGGTGAGGAAATATTTGTTTGTTTTGTGCAGCTATTACACAATGTCTGACACTGGGTACTTATCATAAAGACTTGAGATTGTTTCTTGCAGTTCTGGATACAGGGAAGGGCCAGGCCATGGACGCTGCATCTAAAGAATCCTTCCTCTTCCATCTGATTGTGCAGCTGGGAGGGCTGAGAGTGAGAGACCAAGGTGGTTTTCAGATGAGTCCTGTCAGGGCACAGGAATCTACTCCTGTGATGATGTCATTAACCCCTTCATGACTGCAGGGCACTCGTGTCCTCATTGTGTCTTATCCTTCACCCTGTCACACTGTGACATTGGGGATTAACTTTCTAATGAGTAAACATTGGGTAACACGTTCAAATTAAAGCAAAGAAGGGGTTGAGATGATCCCTGTTCTGGCAGCATGGATGCCTGGGAGGATGGGAGCCAGAGAAGAAGTTGTGTTGGATATTTTGTGGGGATATTGTGTACATAGCCCTGACCTCCATGGTTTCTCCTGACATCTGAGGGAATGAACATTTCTGTGTTTAGGGAGCCACATGTGATGATCCCTAATAAGAACCCGGATGGAGAAGAAATTGGTGAGAGCCCAATCTCATTCAAGCAGCAGAGACTACAGTCAGGTATGTGAAGAGTTCAGACCCAGAGCATAATGATTGTCAAATGAAGGGGCATCTGTGGGAGGAAGTTTTTTTTAATATTTATTTATTTATTATGTATACAATATTCTGTCTGTGTGTATGCCTGAAGGCCAGAAGAAGGCACCAGACCTCATTACAGATGGTTGTGAGCCACCATGTGGTTGCTGGGAATTGAACTCAGGACCTTTGGAAAAGCAGGCAATGCTCTTAACCACTGAGCCATCTCTCCAGCCCCGAGGAAGTTATTTTTAATTGATTTTTTAAAATTAAATATACAAGTACTACATTTACATCATCTCCAGCCCTCAGTCTGCCCATTCCAACAACTCTTATATCCCACTCTCTCTCAAATTAATGACTTGTTCTTAAATATTATTGTTAAATATATGTGTATTTAATATTTGCAGGTACAATGTAATGAGTCCATTTAGTATTAGTCATATTTATGTTTCAGGCTGACCACTTGGTACTGAATAACCTATTAGGAAACTCTTACTGGGGAAGCTGATTTTATCCTCTCCTAGCAGCTATTAATTGTTTATAGCTCTTCATTTAGGAGCGGTGTGTTATCAGATTTATCCCATCCACATTGGCATGTCAGCTAGTGTTATCACTAGTCAGATATTGCTGAGGAAAATATATTGTTGAGATTTCATTGGCACCATGCCCCTGTCACATGCAAAAAAAAAATTATCTGCAAGAGATGTTCTGGAAGGGGTCATCATTTCTATCCCCCTGTCTCTGACATGGACCCGTACAGGCTTTCCAATAAGAGCACCACCCCTTGCAAGACATTCCTCACCTAGAACCCAGAGGGAATACTGCTTCCTTCTTTCCCAGCCTTCGGGGCTGCTGTTGCTCCTTTATTGTGTCTGTGGCTTATATCAGGCTCTATACCAGGGCTCCATGTCTCATTCCAAACTGCAATGGCCTGGGACTCACCTCCCTATCCCTGTCCATCTATATTTTGAGTTGTACTATTTTGTTTTTAACATACCCACTTGAGACATGCTGGGAAAATCAACACTTATGAATCAGAAAGACAGAAGACATATCAGCTGTCTTGGGAGCAGGTATTGTGGTGGGATGGTTGGTCAAAAGGAACAGTGGAGAGACAATAAGACAAAATGTGTGTGTGAGGAGGAGGAGGAGAAGGAGGAGGAGAGAGAGAGAGAGAGAGAGAGAGAGAGAGAGAGAGAGAGAGAGAAGCGTTCAGATAGTCTGATGGACGAAAACTACAGGCATACTTCCTGCTAAGGCCTAGAGACCTAAACTGGGAAAACCTGGAACAGAGTTCAGCCGTGGTCCAACACTGAAGAAAGATGTGGAGATGAGCCTGGACAACGGCCATCATCAGATGAGTCTGGCCTCTTCTAGAGGAGGGATGCTCATAATTTGCACCACTAGTGACCTTCCATCCATCTTCCCCTGCCTCTCCAGGACATAAACACATGGAGCCATTGGGGACTGAAGATGACTTCTGGGGCCCTACAGGACCTGTGACTACAGAGTTGGTTGACAGAGAAAGGAATCTGTACAGGTGAGTGAGCCCTGCCTGGAAAAGGTGACTTTCCCCAGCACACTCTCCAAAATTTTCATCTAGTTTCAATTGCATCTTCTCACCCTCTCACTAATGCAGGAGACAAGGCCAGGACTGGAGTAAGAAGTTTGGATTATTTTAATTATAGAGGCCTTTTCACAACATTCTCAAGACATTTACAAAACTGGAGCACACAAGAACTTCCCTGTCCAATTACTGAGCTCCAGAAACTGTTTTTCCAAGTTTGTTTCAGCTACTCACATTCCCCCTTTGTCATCATCACTGTCACAGTAGTGTGAGTCCAGGACAGTAGGTGACAGGTGATTTCACTCATAAACATTTCCCTATGCCTCCCCTGTAGTTCAGACCACACCTCGTCCTCCATGACCATTACTACATCAACAAGCTGATGTGGGTCCTTCATTCCATCTAAAATGCTCATCTTAGCTCATGACCTGAGTTGTGGACTTTCTGCTGTTATTTTATTCTTGGTGTAAACAGTATCCCTGCCATCACTTTATTTGGTTGCTCCTATCCCTTAGATTTCCAGATAGTCTCTATACTCTTGTTTCACAAACTACCACTTTGTGCCAAGAACCCACTGGGAGCTAAGAACATGAGAATGCATACAGCAGTCTTGTCCTCCAAGGACTGTAGTCCTATGAGTAATGGGTGACTATATGCACATTCATGGTGTCCTCCGTAACCTGTATCCTCCTCCAACACTAACACAGTGTCTCAGCTGGAGAAACTGTTACTTTCAACTGCCTTCCTCAGAAACTTGTTTACCAGCCAGTTACCAAACAGGAAGCCTTGAGAAAAATCACTGAAGAGCTTGGTAAAGTATTGCTCCAGGGCCAAGGATGTATCACTAGATTTGTCACTAATATTATCAGATGGACTCTTATTTGTGGGAAATATACTCTTTAAGAATCTAAACACTAAAAACTGAAGATGTACTTCAGTGATAGAACCCTTGCCTAGTGTGCCCAAGGTCCTAATTTGATCCCCAGAACATCTCTCTCTCTCTCTCTCTCTCTCTCTCTCTCTCTCTCTCTCTCTCTCACACACACACACACACACACACACACACACACACCCATACATATCACCTGCATCATCATTACTAAGAGCCAACTGCTCCAGGTGTGTGTCACCTGTATGTTTGCTCAAAATCACTCAGTACTCACAGGTCTCTAAGATGGTGTTGTCATCAACCTTATGTTCAGAATTGGGGATTAAACGATTTAATCAGGAATCCACATAGAGACAGCAGAGGAACCAGAACTCAGAGTCATCTGGCCAAAGTCTGTAGTGTCCCAAGCCTTGCACTGGGTCTGCACCTAATGGAAGAGCTGGTGTTCACTGGTGTCTGCTTCTCCCTCTTCTAGAGTTCAGTTCCCTGTGGCTGGTTCCTACCACTGTGCCAACACAGGACTCCACTTTGTGGTGACAAGGGCAGTGACCATTGAGATCGGATTCTGTGACTGGAGCCAACACCTGGACAAGACTCCCTTGCAGGACAGTCACATGGTGGCTGGGCCTCTGTTTGACATCAAGGCTGAGCAGGGAGCTGTGGCTGCTGTGCACCTCCCTCACTTTGTGGATCTCCAAGGTAACCAAGGGAAGCATAAGGAGTCGGGTGGTGGTGATGGGAGGACTTGTCATATAGGACAGTGTAGGATGGCTGTGATGGGGAAAGGTCTATGACTTCCTTAGTGAGGCAGAGCAGACTGTGAAGGTGGAAACTGAATTGTTTTGCCATCCCTTCCTGTCTTATGTATCTTCTTTGAAGCACGTGTCTCCAAATCTTATGACTTTCTTTCTGTTTTACCTAGAAAAGTTTTCTTAGTGGAACATGATGTCCTTAGTAGCAATATTAACTACTGTCTATTAAGTGCTTTTACACAGCATATCTTTCAAGAACTCAGCAGGAAACAGAAAGTAAATTGAGCAATGTGAGGAGATTGTTACAAAGTAAGAGTAAGGAAATTTACAAGGATTATTTGGTACCAGTGTCTACCAATACTGTGAGACATTACACTGCTACAGGCAGAGAGAAAATAATTTCAACAGATCCAATCTGGGAACTGGAACTGAAGAAGAGGGATGTCTTTTAAAAGTTGTCCCAACCTCAGTCATTACCAAATATTCTTTCAGAAGATAGTTTAATAGATAAAAGATTCCCAGAGAAAGCTCTCATGCTGAAAGCCATTACTACAGCTCTCTGAGGGCTAAGACCAGATAATTTAGCATTCAAGAGCAGCATAGACAACACAGCCAGACTCTGCTTAAGAAGGAAAAAGCAACAACAACAAGGAAATCAGGTGTTGTACAAGTGGCTCCTTGCCTTGCTTCAAGGAGCACAGGAATAGGCCCACCATAGAGACCAGCAGATGAAGATGGTGTTTGTTCATGGTATAAAGGTGGTGAACAGCCACAAGAGGGGAAACCTAACAGTTAAAAAAAAGTCATGAGAAGTAAAAGAATCACAGGCTGCTCCAGTCAATAGAAGAACAATGAATAGAAAACACATTAAGCATTTCCCTGGTTAAAGATATTCATATTTAATGGCAATTGTAGCTAGAAGTATTCTCTACCCCACTGGTCCCCCTGGGCCAGATTTTCTCCTCCCGCCTGTTTCCAAAGCTACTTATGAAGTAACCACTCTGAGGCTTAATATTAAACATAATACCTTAAGCAAGAGTAGAAATATACATATAACAAAATTGACCTTAAATTTGTGTCCATAAACCAATGTATTCAGTTCTATATCATAACGCCCCCCCTTTTTAGAAAGAGATTGACAGTGACCATTAATCAATTATAATCAACCCTTTTTAAATGAAAACAAACATTCATAAATAGCCATTTTGAGAACTTGGGTGTAGTTTTTAAAACTGTTTTTTGCTTTTTGTTGAATGAAATATTTTTATGGTTCATAGAGACCTTTGGGGGTTATTTTGTTAAACCACACTTGCCTAGGAGGAATCTATAGGTTACCATCCTTTGTGGAAACAAAACAAAACCTCTCTTTATAAAGTAACATATTTTTAGACTCAAATTTTGGAAGTCAAGAAATCTTTAAAATAAATATGTTGGTTAAGCTTAGCATCCCCTAGAACCAAATGTCTCTCTGCAGTCAAAAAAATGTAAAGAAAACATAACAGTATGTATAATCTAGACTCTGTGTATTTTTTATTTTTATGTGACTTCATGTGCATACGTTTTATTTTATCTTCTTTTTACTAATTTTATTGAGCTATACATTTTTCTCTGTTCCCCTTCCTTCCTCTCCCCTTCCCTTCAACACTCTTGCATGCTCCCAATTTACTCAGGAGATCTTGTCTTTGTCTACTTCCCAGTTGTTTGCCTCTTTTAGGGTCCTCATTGTTGTCTGGGTTCTCTGGGATTGTGATTTGTTATTATTTTATTTTTTTTAAATTTTTAAATCATTGTTTTATTTATGACTGTTTTTACTCTTTTTTTAAGTCTCTATATATTTATTAAGCATACTGTGGCCCATTTAGAGGCCCTTTTTGTCTGAATCTGTCTTTACTGTGTTCTTGTAATCCTTTTCCGACCAGGAGCGCATTTTAAAATGTTAAGCATTGTGGCTAGGACGAACGTTGTGGCTTTGCCTTTCGGCACCACCTCATCCAACGTGGAGGAGATACGCTTACCACCAGCTCTGTGCACCATGCTCACCTCCCCAGCTCCAGGGAGGCAGCAGGTCTATGTCACCATGAAGCAACTTGTAGCACTCTGTTCACAAACCCCATTTAAGTGCTCTGTAGCAGGACCTTCTGAAAGAGCCAGAGCCATTCATGCCAACAGTATGAACTGGTAAGCCATCTCTTAAAGATGCTGCACCTCTGCTTGCAGCCAGCTAACAGAGCCTATTTAAAAAAATACCTCTATCAAGGAGCTCCAATTGACTAGTGTTTTTTGTGGGTCTAGAAGCCCCTCTTTTTCAGCTTTATGTGGATGTACAGTGCCCCACATTGGGCAACAGATGTAGCTGGAAGTATTCTCCATTCCCCTGGTCCCCCTGCCCCTGCTTTCCTCTGCCCCTGTTTTTGAAGCTGCTTATTAAATAACCACTCAGATGTTTAACATTAATTACATACTCTTTAGCCCATTCAAGCTTCATCTTAACTAACTCTTACATCTTAAATTAACTCATTTTTATTATTTTATATCTTACCACAAGTCTTGTGGGTTGTTACCTCACATCTTGTTTCCTTGGTGGCTGCTGGCATCTGCCTGACTCTGCCTTTTTCCCCCCTATATTTAGTATAGTTTTCCTACCTAGCCATATTCTGCTCTGCCACAGACCAGAGTAGCTTTTTTTATTAATCCATAGTAATAAAACATATTCACAGCATATAGAGGGGAATCCCACATTAGGCAATCTCACAAGAAGAAAAAAATATGAAGATAAAGAAGCCTAGCATGAGTTGGTTGAAAAGAACTCAGAAAACAAATATAAGCAATAGTGACATCCACAAACGCCTGAGACCCTGAGCTCCAGACCCTGACAGGGGAGCACCGCTACCCAGATGACGCTTTCCTAGTGTGTCTGATGCCGGTCAAGCAATTCCACACAGAACTCCTGCTCTCTCCAACAACGCCTGCCCCAGTCATCACTCAAGCTTCTTCCCTGAGGGCCGCTGTCTTTCCTGTTTCTTACTCCCACTCTCTGAACAGACAAGTACCCCATTGGACACTGAAAGAATGTGGTCCTTTTGCAGTGTAGGAAGCAAAAATACGTGTAGGAACAAGAGTCACAGGGCCATGTGGTAGCCTCTGAGGCTATGTTCTTTAAGGCACCCATGGGTGAGACCATCAAGCACTTACACTCCACTGTGAACGCTCCCCCAGCAGCTAGACAGGGCCAAAGCCAAAGCTGCTTCAATGAGGGGCAGTCTTCATGAGTCACCACTCACAGCAGGTCACACCCACTTCCCTGGCATGGTGAATTGATAGTATGGGAATATTTTATTGATCTGCTATATTCTAACTGGAGATTAGTTAATATAACTTAAGATATTCTTGTTCACAGTTTTTCACATAAACATCAAAAAAAAAAAAAAAACAAGTAAAAGCTAAAAGGACACCATGGCCAAGACAATTTATAGAAGATTTGGGGAGGATTAAAGTTTCATGGGGTAAGAGTCATTGACCTTCACGGCCGGTAGAGGGCAGCAGGCAGGCAGGCATGGAACTGGAGCAGTACCTCAGAGCTTACATCCTTAATGCCACAGAGGAGGGGGGATATTAAACTGGAAACAGAATGAGCCTTTAAACCCTCAAAGCCTACCAGAGTGACACACTGCCCCCAACATCCACACCTCGTACTTCTGTCCGAAGAGTTCCACCAACTCCAGTTACCATGCTCCTTCAGACCACCACAGTGAGTCTAAATCCTCTGTTGTTTTTCCAGCCAAGCATGGCTCAGTGGAAACACTAAATCGCCATCTTTGAATCTGTTCTTTCACAGAGGGACAGGTGGACATCTCCTGGTTCCATGTGGTCCACTTTCAAGAACATGGGATGGTTCTAGAAACACCTGCCAGGGTGGAGCAACACTGCATAATCTTGGAAAACCCAAGCTTCTCCCCAATGGGAATTCTACTGAGAATTATGCCTGCTGTCAGACATTTCATCCCCATCACTTCTGTCACGTTGATCTACTATTACCTCAATCTCAAGGAAGTCACCCTTCATCTCTACCTGATCCCCAATGACTGCACCATTCGGAAGGTGACACTGAGGACCACAAATTGGAGCTCGGGTGGACTACGAAAAACTTGAAATGCAGCTAGTGAGCCCCTTGGAGAGATTCTCAATTGGGAGTGGGCATGCAGTTCTATTGAGTGGCTGCTGGTGTTTATGATTCTACCCTCTTCTTGGTTCCTCACACCAGAGTCTCACCCAACTGCTTCTAATGTCCCTATATCTCTGCACAGCCTCTTATAGCCTCTTTCACCCACTACAAGAATGGGAATATTCCTTGCCCAAAATGTAGCCAATTCCCTTCTTTTCTGGCAGGAACCCTATTCCCACAATGATCATGACAGGAGCCAATAATTAGCAGGCTGTGCGAGAGAACATAAGGCAGAAGGGTGCTAAGAAGGTGCCACCACCCCAGCCCACACAACTGTACTGATAGACTACCTCACCTTATTCAGACCAGATTGATGTTGTAGACCCAAGATCTAGCTAAACTGCTGTTTGCAATGTTCCCTAGGCCATTGATGATGAAGAAATGAAGTTTCAGTTTGTTCGAATAAACAAGCCACCCCCACTAGGTTATCTTTACATTGGGTCCCGCTACACAGTGTCTGCTTCCAAGAAGCTGGAAATCATCCCTAAGGTGAGCATCCAGGAGTTTGCTACTCTTCAGGATCACATGCCAGACTTGGGAACCCTGTGGGGCAGGTTACAGGGCTTTGCAACAAACTGAGATTCGGAAGAAAATCATTGGGACTTAGGATGAGGAGGAATACATCGACATTAGGTAGAAAGCAATTTAAGGGGTCACACAGAAAAACAGAAGGCCTGGAGAATCGAGGAATTAGATTCAATATGGCATGGAGAAGGGACCTGCCTAACATGGACAGCAAGTCCTGGCTTAAGATGTATGAGCAGGACTTTCAGGATGAGCTCTCACTTGTTATGGTTTGAATCTTAAAAGTCTCCTACAGGTATAAATATTAAACACTGGACTCCCAGTTATTGCTAATATCTGGGGAGTCAAGAAACAAATATGTGAGGCCTATGTGAGGCCTGACCATCAGAAGCAGGCCACTAATGGCTGTCCTTGAGGGTTAGAGTCATGCCCTGCTCCCCACCTCAGACTTGGATTCCAGATCCTCTGGATATAACAAACTGTGCACAAGCTCCTGCCACTAAGACTAGAGCCCCAACTTCCATGCATTCCCCACTATAAAACTAAACAACATCAGCCCTTCCTTAAGTTGCTTCCTGTCGCCTTGTTGTCAGAGTGATGAGAAAAGAATCAGCAGGATGGGTCCCAGCTGGGTCCCTTAGCATTCCCCATGTCTTCTGTGGCTACATTCTTTCTATGTCCTTTCTACAATGTTCCAGCCTTCTGAGTGTAAGGGTCTGAGAAAACACTGGAGGAAGACCCCTGACTCAAATAGTATGCAAGAACAAACAGTGTTTAAAAGCATGCAGGGTCAAAAACCTGTACAAGATGGCAGTAATCCTGAGAGGAGCATGAATGCTCTTTTTAAAGCACAGTTAGGGGAATTTTAGGAACAGTTAGGTCATCTCAAACATAATTGGTAAAGCAAACACAGTTATGTTAGTATACTTTTAGATGGCTGAGGTTCCGTTTTTACCATTTTTTTTGTACATTCTTGAGCAAGTTCGAACATGATTCAGAGGGTGGAGTTGCAGGATTTGTCATTGAGATATTGTAGGTCTGACTTGGACCTTGTCCATGTTCTCTGTCTCATCCATGAATGTAAGGGTGTCATTGATAAATGGTCCTTTGTTGGGAGAGAAACCTGTTTTGTCCTTCTTAGAGAACTGAAACCTAAGTTCAGTTATAAAAGTGGGAAACAGAGAAAGTTGGTTGCCTTGGTGCAAAATACAGTCAGTCTAATGTGATGTGTGGGATCAAGCAAGTATGGTGGTGTAGAAAGACCTTGTTCACATGTTCATATGAGTAGAGGCTTGTCACCCTCTCTCTCTCTCTCTCTCTCTCTCTCTCTCTCTCTCTCTCTCTCTCTCTCTGTGTGTGTGTGTGTGTGTGTGTGTGTGTGTGTGTGTGTGTGTGTGTGTCTTCAGGAACTGGAGCTGTGCTACCGTAGCCCCGGGGAATCCCAGCTCTTCTCTGAGATCTACGTTGGACACATGGGTTCAGGGATTAAGCTGCAAATCAGAGACAAGAAGCACAACAATCTCATATGGGAAGCCTTACTGAAACCAGGTAAAAATCTGTTTAGGTCCAGATACCCAAAAGGCCGAAGAAAAGCAATGTGTGGGGAAATGTGTACTGTCACTCATTCTTGGTGTCATTTCAGATTAGATATGTGGCTTTTGATAGATCCAAAACTGGTGGTGAGAGTTAGAGTAAGACCAAGGGGGAAAGAAGAGGAGCAGGAAAAGGTGAAGAGAACAGCGGAGGAGGGAGCAGAGGAGAGGAGAGAGAGAGAGGAGAGAAGGAGGAGAAGGAAGAGGCAGAAAGCCCACGTCCTATTCCAGGATGTGCTTCCGGTGACCCAGTTCCTCCAACTGTGCACTCTCATGGTTTCCAATACCATTCTCAGTGTTCATGCAATTATGAGTGCACTAGTGTGTGTGTTCTTTCATCACACCACAGTCCTCATGACAGTCACCTCTGATTACTGTTGTAGGAGCAACCCTTCAATGCATGATCATTTATCAGGTAACACATCCCATCCAAACCACGGTATACCCTAAGCCACATTTTCTCAGTCCTGTATCCTGATTTCTGCCCCCCAGTGCCCTAGAAATGACAGATTTTGAGACGCATGAGGCATCTAGGACCAGTTCACATTTATATGTGAACAGTTAAAATGAAAGGATTTTTGCCATCATTAAATCCATACATATTTTAAATATATTCTGTGTTTTGACAATTTTATACATACATACATGTGTTCTACTAATGCATACTAAACACACATTTTTACCTCCCTCTACTCCCACCACCCTCCTCATCTTTAATACGAATCTCTTTCCCACGATCATAAAGTTTAGCTTTGTGCAGCATTCAACCATCTGTGTGCCTGTGGCTGTGAACTACCCAGTAGAAGCAAGTGACTTCAAAAGTGGGTACAGATGGATTGTGTACATCCTGTTCTTCCATACTCTATTATTTGCCATAATTTTTGCTATAAATGTTTAGCATCTAAAGAAAACTTCCAGCTCAGTTCCAGCTTAGAATCTCTATGCTATGTATCCAAGATGTGTGCTGTCTTCTGCAGTAAGGTCTTATCCACTAGTTCTGACAGGGAGCCAGGAAGAATGGCATGCCCCTGTATTGTCTAGGGAACCTCCAGGGTCTCCCTGTCCAACAGCTCCTGTGGAGATATCCCACACCTGGAATTGGGTTTTGTTTTTGAAACTCATTACCTCTATGACCTTCTAGGGTGTTGTGTATTGGAACTCTTTTATTATTTTTATATTGAATTATCAAATAGTAGGTTTCATTCTGACTTTTAAATACTGTCTTCATTAAGTCATCCCACCCACCCCATTATCTCCTTCATACCTCTCCCTTCTTGCTATTTGAACATTTCTGCTCCCACTATCCCCTCTTTACCCTCATTTTATCAATACACTACAGTCTTACTTTCCTCCCTAAGGCCCTGCCCAATTTCTAGCTTTCTGTTTTCCAGGGGTTCACCAAGTTAAAACCACAGAACTAAAGACTCCAGGATAGAAACTACATGTGAGAGATGTGGTGGGTTTTTGTTTGTTTATTTGTTTGTTTGTTTGTTTGTTTTTTCCTTTCTGGGACTAGATTATCTTCCTCTATGTTTTTCCTATTGTATGCACTTACCTTCCATGATGTCATTTTCTTCACACCTGAAAAACATCCATGGTACATAAATGCTGCACAATTAACTGCTGGTGGATATCTAGGCTTGTTGCTTTATCTTAGCTGTTATGAACAGAACTTCACCGAGCGTGTTTGTGCAAATGTCTCCATAGTAGGCTATATATTCCTTTGAACACATTCCAGGAGTGGTAAGGTTGGTTTATATGGTAGTTCTGTTTTTAGTTGAAATAAGCCTCCAGATTGATTTGCACATTGGCTGCACTAGCTTGTACTCTCACAAGCAGTGAATAAGTGTTCCTCTGTCTGCACACACACTTCAACAGTCTTTATTGTGTGCATTCCTGATACTGAACATTCTCAAGGGATGAAATGGGAATCATAGGTAATTTTAACCTGTATTCCCCCAAGAGCTAAGTGTTTCCTAGCCATGTGTACTTCCTTCTTTGAGAATTTTGCTTTTACTCCTACGGCAAACCTCAGAATTGTGCTATTTTCTTGTTGTTTAGGTTTTTCAGTTCCATATATATAGAACTAATCTTCTGTCAGATGTAAGCTGGGAAATAGTTTCTCCCATCTTGGCTGCATCTTCTCTCAATTAAATTTCCGTTGCTATACAGAACTTTTTGAGTGTCCTGAGATCAAATTTGTCAATTATTGGATTTATTTCCTGTGCTACCAGAACCTGACTCATAGAATCCTGGCTTGTGTTGCTGTGTTGAAATGTTCTCTTTACTTTTGCTCTTCAAGTTTCACAGTATTGGATCCCACATTAAGGTCATTTAGAGGTGATTTTTCTAAAGGCAAGATATGGGCATCTTGTTTATTCGTCCATGCAGTGCTATCGAGGTCTTCCAGAACCATTTGTTTGACAGGCTGTCTTCTCTCCAAGGTATATTTGTGTTCTTTGTCAAAGGTCAGGTATCTA